GGGCGGGGGAGATCACACGTCCCGCCCCTCCGTTCCTTCAGCACAGATTCTTTCATCCTCGGCGGCTGTGCAGGAGCCGAGGATGAATCGTATGAAATCCTGTGCGTGTCACCCCAAATGGCTACGCGTGTCAGCACTGACACGCGTCATAGGTTCGCCATCACTGTCCTAAACTTTTTATTTTTTAATATATTGATATTTGTTAAAATCAACAGCCAAAATATCATCAGGCTATCCATAAAGGATCAAAATGAGGTTATGTTGACAATGATGATGACATATGGATAAAACATTTTGAATTCTTTGGATGAATTGTAAAACATGATTTCAGAACAACAGTATCACCTATTGGTAGGAGAAGGAACTCTAACTTTGCCTTCTGCTTTCTCAGCAAGAAAAATGCTGAGTTAGCAGTTGGGTATAGTATTGAAAAAGTGACTGTGTTTTAGCTACATAAGGAAAACGAAATATTAGGAAAGAAACAATTTTTACACTTAGTCTGCTTATTCAAACATGTACATAAAGCCTGTGTGAGACAAGTATGTTGGCAGAGAAAGGAAAGTTCCTTTCCATTGTCAACCCAGAAACCAAATGAGACCATTTACTGCCTACATAGAATTCCTTATTGCCTTTGACTACCAACTTTTTAGATAAAAGGGTATGTTTTACACTTATTGATAATCTGCCATCAAGTGGTTTGGGTTTTTTGACCCCTAACAACCACAGATAGATTTTCTCCATAGTGATCTGTCCCTAACCTGGTTTTCAGGAGTTTCAACATTGCACCTACTGTCATTGTAACTTAGTCCAATTTACTTCGTTGCTGGCCATTCCCTTTCTTTCCTTCAACTTTTCCCAGTAATAGAACCTATGCCAGACATCATCTAATATGTGTGAAGCAGAATAATTTGAGCTTTGTCATTTGTGTCTTGAGTGAGAAGTGTGGGTTGTTTTGTTATTACAATATATATCTGTCCATTACAATATATGTCTGTCATCTCTCTCAATTTTGAAACATGATTCTGAGCCAGTTCAAACCCAATCTGAGTGCACAGATTGCAATTCATATGAAGCTGTTATAAATAAATATTCTATTGTTGAACTGCTTAATTTCTGGCCTTTAGTTACAGCAAAAATACTGAGTCTCCTTCTGCTTTATTTATTGCTTAGTGATATATGATTATCACTTTTGTGATTATAGGACTTTTAATCATATTGTATGAAAAGATGCATGTGTTATTGTCCAATTTAAAACAAGTGCAAGATATGAATATAGAAATAAAAGTAACTGCAATTTTAGTTTTCAGATCTTTTCTTCCAGTTGATGCACTGTTATGTATATTAATGTTAATAACAACTAACTTTAACTTGATCTGTTAGTGTAATTTACTTTAATATTTTGGGAGGATTCAGTGAAGCCATTTATTCAGGATCCATTTTTGAGTCCTGTTGAAATATAAAGCAGAATGCTTCATATACAGATTCTTTATCCTGGGTAATTATAAAGTATATCATCCATTGATTATACTAAACAAACTAATACTAAAAATATTGCAGATCATCCATCAATGAATTTGTTTTAATGGTAATGTTGGAAACATTCACATTAATACCGAAGCTAAGATTGTAATATAGAATACAAACTTAGAATCATAAAATTTTATAGTGAGAAAATACATTAATCTAGTCCAATCTCCTGCTCAGTGCAGGATCCATTGGCGTCAGGGTTGGCAAACCTACAGTCCATTGGCCAGATATGACTTGCCACCCAGATCATCCAGCCCATAGTTTCAGAAAGGAATATATTCACCTGATTTGTGTGTATGTGCGTGTGCGGGCAAGAGAGAGAGAGAAAGGGAGAGAGAGAGAGCATACTCATCACTTCTCTGGGTGGCCATTTTGGCAATAACATCACAAACCATCTTGGCACAGGCTGAGCAACAAACCTCTCCACAAGCTGTGAGGTGAAGGCGGAGCTATGAGATAGAGCTGGAAGATGACTTTCTAGCCTCTGGTGAAGACTTAAGGGGGCGGGGGGGAAATTCAACACTTAACATGACGCATAACATAATCCTCTTGATATCTAGTAATTCTCTTTTTTTGTAGGTTTAATCCATTGGTTCTGTAACTATTATCGGGACAATAGAAAATAATTAAACTTTTTCTTTTGCATAAGAATCTTTACTTAAATACTCAATATGTCACATTATGAAAGTTGAAATAAATGAAAAGTGTTTCCTATCCATTTTGTATGGACAAACATTAAAGCATTGGCTGTGGCATTAATAGATTATTGCAAAATGCATTGAATTATTATGTAATATAATAAGGATTTTTATCTTGAGCTGGATAATTGATAGATATTATTTATTGTTGCTTATAAATATTAAAAAGAGGAAAAGAACAAAACAAAGAATAAAAACTGCTTAGAAAATTATATAACTTTCCCTTTTACACTCCAACCAATTTGCAGTATTTACTGAACATTTCAGCCTCCTTAAAAAACATACTGTGTTTGTATCTGCCTTGGTATGTGAGGATTACACTAAGCTTTTAACTGTAATTAGAGTCTATTTTGTCAGTCTTTTGTATCCAGCAGATTAGTAGAAAGTTATAACTGGTTCTTCTTTTTTCCAAAGATACAATGTAACAAGGAAGAGCAAGTCCTTAATTCTAAACAGGATGTCCAGAGCACTCATCAGAGTGCTATCAAATTGGCTTCATGGAACCAGAATTCAGCTAATGTTGAGGAAGATCTGTTTACTGATTCCCAGTCAGAGGTAATTGTTATTCATGTCATCCAAAACAGACTTAGGCAAACTTAATGATATCTTGAATATATTTTATTTGATTTTACAGCTAGGTTCTAGTACCTTTTTTAGTTTCTGTGATCATTTAATATCAAATAACATGTAAGTTCTTATCACAAGAAGCTATCTTTTTGGCTTCTTTTTGCTTTCTAAGCTACTGGAGTGGGGATTATCTTGGAAAGCACTTACAGGTGAAACTCAAAAAATTAGAATATTGTGCAAAAGTGCATTTATTTCAGTAATGCAATTAAAAGGTGAAACTATTATATGAGATGAGATTCATTACATGCAAAGCAAGATAGTTCAAGCCGTGATTTGTCATAATTGTGATGATTATAGCGTACAGCTCATGAAACCCCCCTTGCATCTAAACATGCAAAGCTATTGGAAACTCATTTGGAAACCAAGGACCCAGAGTATGGAGGAAGAATGGAGAGGCCAATCAAGCACAGTAATCCCACAGTCAGTGAACCAATTTTTGGTGCTTTTGGCAAAAGTTGCTCTCATCAGAAAGGAGGACTTTGGACCAAGGAGCAACAGGACTTTGGA